TTTATATTTATCAAGAGAATCCTATATCAATTATAATCGAGTCAAATATTAGGATATAATCTCCTAATATGAGTAGGATAATTCATTAAGTTAATTAGAGGTAAGTGTATATCTTCTCCTATTTTGAAGATCAAACCTAAAGATAAACGAGGACTCCTTATGAGATGAGTCTCTAGGTTTCCATGGCCTATAAATAAAGGAGATCAAGACCCTATTGCCTACATGATATTGCATTCAGTTCATCCACATTTTGAAGCAAACTGTATAGAGCATTAGAAGACGTCGATTTACACGCAACGATGACTGTTTCCGCTTCAATGAACTTCGTTGCGCATAAAAAGTGCTCCAGGCTAGTTTTACTAACTCTTTATGATATTATATTAAATTGATTTCTGATTATGTGTTTATGTTCCTATGCCTTTATAATTGTTAAATATATCATCTATCAGAAAGGTAAATCTAAGCATGAGGACTATGAATATTAATAGGCACCACAACTAATATAAACAAGCAATACAACAAAATAGGGATTATAGGATGCCACCAATTTCAATTTGTCCTGATAGAACCGTTTTATAGAACTTATTTTTTAGAACCCAAATATAAAGTCCTATATAAAGGCGTTGTAATACGTTTATAAGACGTTTTTGGGCATTCTAACAAGTTTTTTTAAGATACTTTTAATACAAAACATCGTGTTAGCAATTTATAGGATACTTTTGAAAAAATGTCTTATAAATCTATTTTTTTTGGACATGGTAATGGGACGGAGATCTCAATCCCCATCCCCGTCCCCGACTACTAGTCCCCATCCCCATCCCCACCGGGGAATACAATCAAATTCCCATCCCCATCCCCAATGGGGAACAAAGATTCTTTTTTCCGTTTATGTAATCTATTTTTAGTCAAATATGTGAAAGAACACACATGTTTAAATCTCATATATTTCTAATAAACCTAAAATGAAAATGAATTTAATTTAATACAAAAAAATAACAACATCATATAATAAATAATAACCTAAAACCAAAAGAAATTTAATTTAATCCAAAAAAAAAACTTAAAATCACACGTACCAATACATATCGAGTAATATAAAACCATATTTTCGGTGTGGTGTGGGAGAGAATGTTGTCAATAAAGCCGCTAGAGAACTTAATTGTAACACTGGGAAATTTCCGAGTAAACATCTCGAGGTTCCGTTGGGTACAAATATGTCCAGAGCTAAAGCGTGGGATCCGATTATAGAGAGGTTCCAAAAAAGCTAAGTAGATGAAAGGTTAAAATCTATCGTTCGAAAGGAGACATGTATTGACTCAAGTAGTACTCGGTAGCATCGCAACATACTGCCTTTTGATTTTCAAAGCTCCCAAAAAGGTGATTGATTCATTGAAGAAACTAAGAAGAGACTTTTTTTTTCTTGGAGATCGGAAGGTGAGAACATAAAAATGGCTTGGATTAACCAGAGAACTGTACTTAGAGACAAGAAAAATGGAGGTCTATTAAATTATATGGAGTCAATGGTGGTTTTCCTTGGAACGGGGGCCTTTGAGCATATGTAGTTCGTGGGGTAGTGTGCTTTCGGCAATGAGATAGTTGGGCCTTCTTCACATTAATTTCAACGAGTTGTGTTTGAAACAAATCAACAATGGTCTTAGTACGACTTTTGGACCGATACTTGGAGGCACCTGTCCATTTTCCTCTCGTTTTTTCTAGACTTTTCACTCTAGAAAATGAGAGGCAAGCAACCATAGCTGATAGGACTAAGACGGAAAACTCTTGGTCTTGGCGAAGACCCGTCCAAGATGGTAGAGAATCCAAGGATATCGATCAATTGAGGGAGGGTATTGGGGATTGTTCACTATCTAAAAATCCCGACAGATGGTCTTGGTCTCTAAATGCCAATTGGTTATTTTCAGTGAGTTCTTTGAGATTTATCATCAAGAAAACATTTTTGGGGGTCGGCAAAAAAGAGGCGATATGGAACTCTATGACTCCTCCTTTGTTTTTATAAAACGATAGATATTTGAATATGTGTAATCATATATAAAAAATTTAATTTGTACAATAAGAATTTTTGAAGTCACCTATGAATTTCAACTTCTTTTCAATCAATTGTTTATTTATATCATTACAAAAAATACATCTGAACAAAATAAAGGTAGCTATTTGAAATTCCTTTCATTCTCACTATCTCGCTTATTCATGTTGGGAAATCTGATTTTGTAGTTTGATAATACTTGGACAAAATTAGTACTGGGATAATCTATAAATTATATATTCAAACTAAGGCACAAATTCATGAATGTGTGTGTGTGTATATATATATATATATATATATATATATATATATAGGCTTAATCAAATGAGAACTCAATAATTTGTTATAATCATGAGATTCAATATGAGTCACTCATTTATGATAATTATGTTATTTTTTTAATAAATAGAAAAAGGGTAATTTAGTAATAAAAAAAGACAACTCATAAATGCGTTTAATTAATTTATTATGTCCATAAATAGGAAATTCATAACTCTTCAGAGTGTGTTACATTTGAATCTTTAATGCTAGTAACACAAAGTGTATTTTCATTATTTCATAGTTTCATTTGTATCACATTTTGTGTTTTCGTTGTTTACAATGTATATGAAGTTGTATATCTTAAAGTATCACAACATGTATATGGTGGGTATCACATTGGATATAACAATAGGTATTAGTGGGTATATAGAGAACGATCAATAGAAGAGAGAGGAAAGATGAGAGATAAGAATTTTAAAATACCTAAAATGCAATTATTTAAAATTTTAAGGACAGAGAGAAGATTGAGATTTTTATCCGAAGAAGGGAGAAGATTGAGATCGATGTTATCTGGAGGAAAAGAGATAAGTATAAAGGGTAATAGGGTTAAAATGGTAAACTGGTAATAAGCAGTTTTTCATAAGTCAAGACGGATTAACTTATCAAAAACTGCTTATTATCGGTTTGACACCGATATAAGCAGTTTTCTTTTTTCTTATCCAAACACTAGGTATTAGCTTATCACCAGTGCCAGACTGAAATAAGTCAATAAGCAGATAAAATAAGCAATCCCAAACACCCCCTATATATATATATCAACCAGATCAAACATTTAAGTATTTGTAAGAGGAATCAATGGTTACAGACGGTTAGATAGTTAATATGCAACAACACAACAACTACAACCACTTATGGATAAGATTAAAAAAACAGTTACAAATTACTTAGAGGCTCTGAGTCAAAACCATCATAGAGAAGAGGTCTAGAGCTCTAACCACAAGGATCAGAGGCTCTAATTATATAGACTAGAGACCGAAGGTCCAAAGGCACTAATCAAAAGGATCAGAGGCTTTGATCCTCATCACTTAGGAATCTTGGCAAAGACTTAGATCTCTTAGCATAAGACTCAGAGGCTTTGATTACACTGCCTCTCTAAACTACACTTTCTGCAAATTTTTCGAAGTTCAAGAACAATTTATAGAAGGTTCCTATCCTTTTGAAATTCGTCCAAATCATCCCAAAACATGAAATTTCCTAATTAAGACTTTTCTTAAAGTCATCAGTAGGGGCGATCTTCCAAGGACCCTGCAAGGGGGCGCAACTCTATTGACCTCTGTATTTCGACCATTTAAGGTGACGAGAACAAACATTTGTTAGATTGCACTTTGCACCTCCTAACTCACGTTGTTTGAATTATCACCTTAATCGATCTCAAGTAAATCACAATTACACCAAATAATTGACGACACTAAAATCACCTGCAATTCATTATCCGCTTACCGAGAAGTAGAAAAGTTTGATAAGTTGTTTGAGGAAACATTGGTATCATTGTCCATTTTATAACATTCAAATTCTATTTTTGTAAACCATATTATCATCATTCAACTTTGAAATAAAATCGATTTGAGTTGAGAAAGCAAAATGCTTGTACATTCTTTTCCATTGAACCACGTCTTCGTCGTCGTCTAATCACATGTACCATATATATAAATCAGATGTTGTACATTTGTCATCATAGTAGCACAACAATCACCAAAAAACAAGAGAAAAGGAAACCAAAATAAAGTTCGAAATCCAGATTGTCGATAAAAAACAATGATAAGAAACATAAGTAACAAGTGAAACCAAATGTTTGAAACCTACCTTGGGTCTATTATGAAATCGAAGAACAACATAGTATTTCTATATTTAACGGCATATTGCTCTTTTATTTTTAATGTACGATATATAGGTTTACGTTTGTATCGTTTACATTTAATGGTATTTCTACCATTTACATGAATTTAAAACTACCGACGGATTACTATTGAATATCTCTACGTGTATACATTTTATTTTTATCAGACAACCCACCGGTGATTTAACTAATTAAATTAATTTTTATTCTCACATATGACGATTTTTAATTATATGAAATTATATATCGACTAATTATCCACGGATGGTCAATCCATTACTAATTTCACTGTAATCAACTTTTCCGACGGAATTTTTTTTATTAACCTGGGCCTGCTATGCGAACCAACTAATCCAAGGGCGACCACCTGCTTTGCAGATAGCCCGGTGTCACCGCATTTGAACTTTCGTGGCCACAAGGAGATTTTTATTCCTCATTGGATTTGAACCCGAAACCTCCTAATATTTTTGATCTTCGAAGCCAAACTCAAACCAATCAAGCACCACCCTTATGATTTTACTAAGGAATTTTAACGTCCTCTTGGCCGGTAAAAGCCAAATGTTTAGTGAATTTTCGAAAGCCTCTCTGTGTTTAGTAGTGTAGGACCGGCCCTGCAACGTAAGCAGATGACTTCTAATTTATTTATGTATTACATGAAGAATACCACCAATTTAAATAAGAATACAAACATCATGGTCTCGTAGTTAACTACACGTGTTGCATTTGCATGTTTTCATACCGGTTAACGTGTCCCACAGATAGTTTCCCATTATCCTCTTCAAAAACACGCTTATCCATCAAAGACCGGTCTCAGCCATGGACGGTCGGTATAACGGCACCGGTCAACCCCACCTCAAGAAACAACCAAGAGGTACCATCATCGGTGATGGAAGACCACCCTTTCGTAGGCTCGAGGGTCCCTACCCAGAGAAATCAACCCAACTCATGGGTATTATGGCCTTGTTTGTCTCTAGTGGACTCTTGTTCATCATTTCCGGCATCACCGTCGTCACCACCGTTCTCGGCCTCATATGCTTTGCCCCCATTATCATCATCACCAGCCCGATATGGGTTCCGTTCGCTATCCTTCTTTCCTTGGTCGTAGCCGGGGTATTGTCTCTCTGTGTGTTCGGTCTGGTGGCAGCGGCCGTTGTTGATCTCTTGGTTGTCCAAGTACTCATGAAGAGGTTGCGACTTCTGGCGTATGAAGAATTGTTTGAACGAAACCAGAAAATCGGTGCAAGTAGAGAGTTTTAGCTTGTTAAATTCATAAAATAATAATATTTTGGTGCACATTTGGTGTATGGTTTCTTTTTTAAAAATGCTATAAGATGGTTGTATATGGCCAATGGCGACCCTTTCCCCCTCCATGAACCACCACCACCACCACCACCGCGCACCGTCAGCAGCCCACCAACAATATCATTGGTGATTGACCCAACTATCACCTGATTCGAGTGTGTCGATTTGCATCAGAAGTGTTCAATTGAAATGTGTTTTTTTCTTTTTAATTATAATCGAAAATTTTAGTTGTTGGGCAAATATAGCTATGGGGCTATAAAAATAGAAAGATGTGATATTGGTTCCATTGGATGTGATGATACAGTGATGCTGGACATGTAGGTAACTATGTTTTTTAGTACCCCTTTCCGGTCGCAATCACGTGAAAACACCAAACAAGCGCAAACCGTAAGTTTAGTGGAGTTTCGGATGACTTTAAAACTTTAAGTGTAAAGGTTTGACCACTTGAAAGTCAAACCGTAGGTGTGCATGAAATTGGCGGTCTTTGAAATAGTTGAGAAGCCTACATGTCAAGTGTTGACTACTAGAAAGTCAAACCGTAGGGTTAGAGGAGTTTCGGATGACTTTAAAACTCTAAGT